GCCTATTATATAGGGAGGCACTGGCCCCTCCTGACATGGGCGTCACCTAGCCAGCCTGTAAGGGCTGGCGTAATGGTATTTGAGCTTCTGATGAGGTCACGCAGGAGGCGTTCCCATAGTGAGACACTCACTCATGCTACTCAGAGAACCGGGGTTATATACATAACCTTAAGATCTAATAAAAAAACAAGACAAAAACAAGATAAAAATGGGACAGTACAAGTTGCAATAACTTGTACCTCTTTTTCTGGGTAAAGCAGGTCAAAAAGCTTCATGACAGGCAGGAAGTCAGCTAAGGCGTTCTTTTGAATGCTTCCTGATATGAACTGAAGCAGGACCCACATAAGATGATCTCTCCCTTTAATGAGACCTCTACCTGCAAGCTGATGAGAACAAATAAGGGAAAAGAGAAAATAAATCATTAAAACACATATACACAGAATTTAATCTGCTTCATTTAATTTTTTCCTTGTTAGTAACATGTTGTTAAACATATTTAATAAATGTTATGACACGTGCTACAACTCACTCCACTGCATACATTTAAACACGTCTCAAAAGCTTGAAAAAGACAACTGAGCTTCTTAAAGTTTGGGAAGACGTTTCACCTCTCATCCAAGAGGCTTCCCCAGTTCAATGTAAACGCATGTATTACACTCATGCCCCTAACTGACTGTAAACATGCTGTAAATGTTTTTCTTTTTCTATCAGCGTGACTGCAGTCAACTCCTCATACCTTTTGGTGTAGCGACAGCACCATGTGAGGGAAACTTGCAAACTGAAACAACACAAAGAAGATGAGCTGGGAGGAGAGGTGCTGCCACAGCAGCTGACTAGTTCCTCCGATATCGGCGTCAAAGTGTTCCTCAGTCTCAGAGCGCTCCATGGCGTACACCACCAGGTCCACCAGCTGCTCTTCCAGCACCGGGCAACGCTGCTTATGCTGGGAGGGGAGGAGGGGAGGTGTGTTACAGGATAAAGAAAACGGTGAGAAGAAGGGAGGAAAAAAGCCAAAGGAGACAAAAAGAAGTGGAGTTAAGAAGAGAGGAAAGGAAGGTCGGATTGAAGGAAGAAAGACAGAAAGATAGACATAGGAGAGAATAAAAATAACATCTTTAATAAATTACTTCACATTCAAACATTTTTGTTGACAGTTATTCCAGATACTGTTAAAAAGATCACTGCGTGCAGGACAGCATCTCCTTCTTGTGTTGTCACAATGGACTGTAGCCATATTCCAGTATTTACCCATATCCCTTAATATTCTGGTCCTCAGCTTGTGTTACTATACAGAAAACAAGATGTGTTTTGGTCTTCTGTGAAATCTTTTACAGCTCTAATACATACAAAAGATTTAAAATAAGGGGTTTCATTCCATATGTGAAACAGTCGCAAGGTTCACAAGCTCAGAAATAGCTGTTATATCAGAAGATTCAGAAACGGATAGACGCTAAAGCTAACTAGTTTGACAAATAAGCCCATAATTTTCCTTTTTAATATAATTATATTATAGTCTGAGCAAACATATAGAAAGAATATTGGCCAGGATATCCATACTAGAATTTTTAACACTTCAAAATCTGTACTGGCTCCAGTATATCCAGTATAACCCATGCTCTATCATGAAGAATTTAAAAAAATGCATCTATTTAAAAGACGGGTGGGATAAAAAGAAAAAAAAGGAAAAGAAATGGAGGATTAGTGGTAATGAGAGGGTTTTTAAATCTTTTTATTTTTCCATCTAATAAGGGTTAATAATGATAATAATAATAATAATGATAATAATATTACAGGCTTCACTTACAATCCACACAGCCCCTGTTCTACTGTATGAGGTAGCTGATATTGCATGTCGCTGGGTCTGTTATTTAATTTAAAAAGAACTATGATTTCATAAAAAAAGCTGCACACTTTCCTGACATATGGGCTTCACATTTGTTCCGTCTTCTACATGTAAAAAGGCAAAATTAGAGCAGAAGGAGTGAGGATCTCTGCAGCGCAGGCATTGACATTCATGTCAGGCCTCTTAACAGAGCCCTTCTTACACTGAGACACGAGGGACTGAACAGCACAGCACGAACAGGTCAGGTACAGCACTAAAAGGCACAGCATAAAACAGCAAACCAGCCACTGCAACACATTCCCACATGCAGACTAACAGGTCTGGGAAGGGACAAAGGTGTGAGTGGGAGGAAGAAGAGTAGCTGTGAAAATGACCATCCGATTTTTCTTTGCTTTGGCCTTCGGCACAGCTTCTCTTCCACCGCAGGCAAACACACACATGCTCACAGAATGAGAGAGAAAAGGGCAACAAACAGATAGAAGAAAAAGAGTAAGAGAGAGATCCACAGGCATATCTGTTGTCTACAAATAAATCATGTACACAGATCACCCAGTGATATATTTAAAAACCAGCAATATAACCAGCAGCTAGTTTATACTGTAACTGATCAACAGCCTGACTAATGGGAACCTTTTTTTCTTCTTCTTTAAATTCTAACCCATCATGCACCAGCACAATGTAATGAAATTGCATTTTCAGGAAGATAAACTCAGGTAGCATCTTATTTATTAACATAACGCCCGGAATTAAAATGTTCCACTGACCTGCTGACAATAACCACAAACTATGCAAATGTAATAAAGCACTGCGGTCCTCACGGGCCACCCCCTTATTTAATTATTTTGACCTGTAACAAAAATCCAGTCCACCTCAAACCTGAAAAGAACTTTTTGGTTTATGAGCCGCTTTACGGTGGCTCAGAGAGGTCAAACGCATTGCAACTTAAGAAAGCACGCCGCAGAAGCACACAAATCATAATGGAAAGAGAAAAAACTAAACAAACAAACATGAAAGAAATCACACACACAAATGTATACAACACAACAGAAGTGTTTTTTGGGGAGACAAAAACCAAAACATGCAAACGACTGCACTGAGACCTACTTACAAGAAGCTGAGGAGAAAAAGTTGCAGGTAATGTGTGTTTTAATAACGTGGTTTGTATAATACTGTAGATACATGTTTGTTATTAGCCATTTACTGTTAGCTTGTCATTTCCACGGCTCTTCCGTCACATTATCGTGTCCCCCAAAGACACTTTCATTGTGTTTCTTCTTTTTTTGCAAAGCGTTGTGAGATTTTGTTCTATTTCTGTTGTTTTTTGTGTGCTTTTACAGTATTTTTCTCTATTTTCATCCATCCGTCCATTTTCTTCCACTTATCCAACTCAGGGTCATGGGGTGAGAGACCCTACACCCAGGCATGTAGATGCCATGACCACTGACATCTATGGACCGTTTATATACAGTAATTGACCTAACCTCACTAAGTCTGTGGGAGGAACCCAGACATAACCCACACAAACACGGGGAGAACAAGCAAGGCCCCGGCATGATGGGGGTTCAAACCCAGGACCTTCTTGCTTTGAGGCAACTGTGCTAGCCATCGCACTAACCTGTTTTTTTCCCTATTTCCATTGTTTTACTTAACCTAGCTTGTGTTTTGTGTGCTAAACCTGGTGTTTTCCAAAGTTACAGTTTATTTGACCTTCCAGAGTCACCTTACAGCTTTTACTGGAAAGGATTAAGGTGAATGTAAGCAATACAAATTAGAGCCACTTTATCATTTTTGACTAATGCAATCCAGTTTGCTATCACAGTGCAGTAGCATTATTTAAGAGCTATCAACTTAAAATGCAGACTGGACTATAATTAAACAAAGCATAGCCAGCCTGCCTTTTATTTATGTAAAAAGTAATAAAGTTATGATAAGTTAACCTGTGAGGTGCCTAATATTTTGCTTGTCTACTTGTAGGTACAGCACAATGTTTCTGCGCTTGCTGTGGCACACACTAACCTTTCTGTTAGGGTCTGTAGTCTGCTGTAGTCACTATCTGCCACATGGCTAGCTGTTGCTTGATTTGCAAGCTTGCTCTTGGCTAACGAATATAACAATAACAAATTGCATTAATCACCAAAGACAAGAGCACCGCTTAGTCAAAATAGTTCAGTGTTGCCCCCGGTCAGCACAACAGAAAGCAGCAGCAGGTCCGACACGGGAGGACCTTGCTAACAACAGGCAAGCACCAGACTACATCCATACATGCAGTGCAGCAGGACTTGAAATGTCAACAGCAGGGTTTAAAGTCAGAAATAATTAAGGTCAACTTGTTAGCTGGGACTACATTTGCTCTTTTGCGGCTCAGAGGAGCTGCAGCTCTCTTAGTCTGGACTGTATCCGTATGATCAGTGTCAGTTAGCTCAGCTGACATTAGGATTGCTAACTAAAAATGTTAATCAACTGCGTCTGTTGGGCCACAATGAGGCAAAGTTGAGGAGTACTCATTAATAAGTAAATAGAATTATGCAGAAACATGCTAAGCACAAATCCAAGTACTAAGCATTACTGAGAAACTTGGAGCTTGAAAGCTTTCAGCTGACTGACAACCCCCAATATAAGAGGCTTAGTGGTAATCATGGCTAATCACAGACCTATTTTTCATCTATTTATCATTAAGCATTAATTTAACTAAGCCTAAATAATTATAATCAAGGTGCTTCTTTTTTTTTTGCCAAGATCATATATACTGAATATTAACAGAAAATATCAAGGAGGATACAAAAAAGATAAGGTAAGGTAGAGATAAGGTGTGCAGGTGTGATGCAAAGCAAACAGGCATTATTAAAAAATGTACACAGCGACCTGTTAATTGAACAAGTCATGTGCAGTTAATGACTCAAAGTCTCCTTGGCTTCCCATTAAACTAACTGCTTTTTCTGGTAATCTTTAATATCTCCCTAACAGTGCACCTGTCAAATATTTATTTAACCACACCAGTCTACCATTTATGGAGCCCTGCTGTGTCCATCTCAAGCTCTGTCATGTTTCCCTTTTGTTCCACTTCAAGTTTTCTTCATTTCTCCAGTTTCAGGTCGTCAGTGTGCCTAAAAAAAAAGCTAAGCGTCCAATGAGCTGGTTAGTTGGGTCGGTCAGGCAACCAGGAAGAGGACATACCTGGGCAATGTTCAGAGTCTAGAGAGCGCATGGCAGAGAGACAGACAAATACAACACACAGCCAGAGGACAAAAGAGAGAGAAAAGGAAGAGAAACAAAGAAAGAGGATGAAACGGAGAGAGGAGGGGGGGCGAGGGAAGGAGAGACAGAAAAGAAAGTGGTGACTAAGGTAGCTAGGTTGTTTACTGTCTGTTCAGCACAGTTAGTTTCAACTCAGCCAATTCAGATATATAAACCAGATTCTGGGTTATTTACTCCAAGTCAAAATATAAAGAAATATCCATATACAGCGTTGATTATAGCTTTGTGTTAACAATCCAAGGAGCCCGGAAGAAAAGCGACTGGACTTCTTTAAGTTTCTTGAAGAAGCTTCGTCTTCAAGAAACTTAAAGTAGTCCAGTTGCTTTTCTTTTTAAGCTCCTTATATTGCCATGACCGGGATAACTGAGAACCTACACAGAAATATTTGTGATAATGCCAAACTGTCTGGATTCAATGACAGCTTGACACACTGTGTGGATGTTTGTGCTGAGTGAACTGGGCTGAGCTGAAACTGCATGAACCCAACAGGGCAAACTGACACCAGTGCATTATGGGCCAAGCTCACAGCGTTGCTTTACATTTGTTCTTATATAGGTGTGTTATAAGGACTACAAGGGAAACAAGGTAAGAGAGGTGTGAGGGGAGAAGGATATAAGGAGGGTGGCAAAGAAAAGTGAAGAACCCGTGCCGAATTACAACGCAAAAAAAAAAGATCATGGAGGATAAGGGAAACAGCAAGAGCAGGAGCAGATAAAAGATGGTAAGATGAAAATAACGGGGGCAGGAAATGTGGGGGCATTTGGAGGGCTTGATATGGAGGCAAAGGGACAAATACAAAAGAAGATGAGGTTGTTTTACCTGCTTGTTGAGCCCCAACATGTTGCACACCATCTCTCTTGAATAAGGCTGTTCTAGTACATAGCGTAGCAACCCTGTCTGTGGCTCAAAAAGGTCCTATATGATAACACACAAATCACGATCAAACTTCTGTACGTCTAAAGGTGTGCGTGGTGTATAAGTCCAGCGCGTTGGTTACCTTGTCAAACGGCAGCATGCCTCTCAGAGGGAAGCGAAGAGTGCTGGGGTCTAATTTCCAGGAATTACAGATAGCACCGCTGTTATTCACCACTGGCAACAGACTGCATCGTCCTGTGAGGACACACGGACGCAACAAATGATTGTACATACCAGACTGACTACATGAGATAAATAACTACAAACTGTCTTTTTAGTTTTCATTCACTTTCTAGTGACTGTCCTATTAATAATAATAACACTTCAAATGATAAGCGGCTTATTTAAATCTCCAGGAATCCATAAAAGGAGAAGCAACCAGTTCCTCTTACCACAGATAGAGTTGATCCGGGCTGTGGGTCTAAAACTGTCCACAAAGTCTGATATCAAACTGCCCAAAAGCTGAAAATGCACAGACATGATAAGGAATTCACAAATAAAAATTCAGACTATATAGTGTTACATATAATGTTACACATAGCTACACAAACACTCACCCAGTGTGAGAGCTGCCCCTCTGGATACAGTTTTCTAATTTCTGTGATAGCAAAGTAGGCTGGAAGGAGACAGGCATTTCTGTCCAGGATATATTCTACCACCTGCAACATGCATAAATATAAGTAAACCTAAAAAGTATTCAAATAAACCATCAAAAATGACATATAATTCATTTTAAAGGTATAAAGATGGGTACCTCTCTGGCAGCCAAAAGCTGCTGGACTATAGCTGAGCTGACAGTGGTAGGAATAGTTTGAATTTTATCCAGCACAGCTTTCAACAGGTCCCGAACACCCTGACGCAACAAGTATAAAAGAATTCATGAACAAGTGTCTCACGTGGAAAGCTTAAAACGACTTTAAAATGTATGACACATTGTAGGATATTCTTCTAAAAGCCAGAGATCCCTGTTTAGCAGCAGTCAACAAAAATAAAACCACTGAAAATCAAAACAAAAAAGCACAAACAATCAAAGAATTGAAGAAACGAATTGGAAGAATCGATCCAGATGTGTCTGTGTGCTAGAAGCTTCGTGTCAGAGACCTTGTAGTCCACTCCCCCGATGATCTTGCGGATCAGCTTGAAAGTTAATGCCCACAACTGTGTCCTCTCCCACTCCAAACTGTCTGAGCTTATTAAGGCCACGCACACCATCCTAAAGATACGAAGATTAATGAGATAGACAAATAACATCAAACATAATACAGTTTAAAAACAACTCATTATTGGGATGTCATAAAACAGATAAATTAAATATAATAAATGAATATATGGAAATATTATAAATCAGTCTTTGAACCCATTTTACTTCTTTAGGCGTCAGATAATCTCTCACTATATGTATGTGTGTACCTGGGTGGTAAAAGACTGGTCTCCACAGCCATTGCCAGACAGTCGTAGAGGAAGGAGATCCTCTTGGGGCTGTGCTGACTGTGTATAAAGCGCACAATCCATTGCACACACTGTTCATGAGACTCCTGCAGAAAGACATTGGAGCAACTGAGAAATCTCAGCCATGTAGGTGTGAGCAAGTGGGAGTGTATGTGTGTGTGTAAAAACCTGTGGCAGGGTTCCCCAGTACTGTCTGAAGGCTCCAAGACAACTGATCAGCTTAGTCCTCTCATCCTCTGGAGTGTCCATAAACATCCTAAAAACACACTTCTTAATTTTAGCATTTAATTTTGCTCCATACATTTTAATATACACACACCGGCCACTCTGTTAGCCACATCTTTTCAATACAGTTATCTAATCAATCGATCACACGACATCACCTAACTGCCTTTAGGCATGTGGACATGGTCAAGAAGACCTAGTTAAGTTCAAACTGAGCATAAGAATGGGGAAGAAAGGTGATTTAAGTGACTTTGAACATGGCATGGTTGTAGGTGCTAAACAGGTTGGTCTGATTATTTCAGAAACTGATGATCTGCTGGGAATTTCCCCACATATACATCTCTAGGGTTTTCAGAGAATGGTCCAGAAAAGAGAGAAAAGGCAGCAAGCAGCAGTTCTCTGGGGGAAAATGCCTTGTTGAGGTCATAGGACAATGTCCAGATGGCTTTGAGGTGCTGGGAGCAAAAAAGCAACTCCAATAAACACAACCCCCCTATTCAGAAGAGCCTCTCTGAACACAACATGTCAAACCCCGAGGCAGATGGACTACAGCGGCTGAGGAACATAATGGATGCCGGTAATGTAAACTAAGAACAGGCCACTGAAGCAAAGCAGGATAACACAGCATGTCTTAAAATTCAAATTACATCAAACTAGTTTCTCGAACATGACAATGAGTTCAATGTACTCAAATGATCTCCACAGTCACCAGATCTCATCTCATCTCGAAGGGAGACGAGGCAGACTACAGAGAGGAAGTCCTGAAGCTGGCAGCATGGTGTTCAGAAAACAACCTGGCACTGAACACTAAGAAAACCAAAGAGTTCATTGTTGACTTCAGGAGACACAGCACTGACTTGGCCCCCCTCTACATCAACGGGGAGTGTGTGGAGAGGGTCCACACCTTTCGGTTCCTTGGTGTTCTCATCTCTGCTGACATCTCCTGGACAGGAAACATCTCAGCGGTCATCAAGAAGGCCCAACAGCGGCTGCACTTCCTGAGAGTCCTCAGGAAGTACAAGCTGAACTCCAACCTGCTGCTGACCTTCTACCGCTCGTCCATTGAGAGCCTGCTAACCTACTGCATCACGGTATGGTACGGCAGTTGCACCAAAGCAGATAGAGTGAGGCTTCAGAGTGTGGTCAAGACAGCACAAAAGATCATCGGCTGCCCTCTCCCCTCCCTGATGGACATTTATTCCTCCCGATGCCTCACCAGAGGAGCAAACATTACCAAGGACAGCTCCCACCCTGGTTTCAACATGTTCAGCCTGCTTCCCTCAGGGAAGCGCTACAGGTGCATCAACACAAAAACCCACAGACTCAAAAACAGTTTCTTCCCCAAAGC